CACACACACACACACACACACACACACACACACACACACACACACACACACACACACACACACACACACACGCCTTTTTCGTCTTGGAAGCGCCCACTATGGCCCAATGAGCCCCAAGATCGTCCCAAGACGGGCCATGGGGCGCGCCTAAAAGAGGACCTGAAGACTGCCCACCAGAGCCCCAAGAGGGCCTAAGCGGGCCCCAACACGGCCCGAGGGGCTCGGTTCCGAAGGCCCCAAGAGGCGCCCAATAGGGGCAATACGAAATGCCATCTCGATTCTTTCCCGCCGCGATGGCTCCAAAAAACCGCCAGTGATCTCGAGGCGTTCCCAAGAGGCGCCAAGAAGCTGCAGAGAGGCCCCCAAGAGGCCCCCGAGATGCCCTCCAAAGCCAATCAGATCCCCAAGGAGCCCTCTACAATAGGCCCCTGAGAGGAATCCCAGCAGACCCTCATTTGCATCCCCGAAGCTCCTGACCCATAGGCCAGGCACGATGGCACTAATCCTGACGACCTCCCTGCTGTGGTGGTCGGCGGACTGGCGTACGCCTCTGGATATAGCGTGGCGTGCTTTGGCTCCTCGCTTGCCCTGCTAGTTTGGCGGTCAGCTGCTGTTCCAAAGCACCGCCGCAGCTGGAAGACAGGTCGAGCCCTTTCGAAGGGCGCGAGGGTGAGAAGTGACGCGCAGCGACCTCAGCGGGCCGCGAGGCGTGCTCAATAGAGCTTCGTGCATTTCCAACCCTTCGTGTCTGTCGCCGCCGGGTCGCACTCCATCATGCAGCTGCCGTACTCCGCGTTCTTCATGTAGCAACTGTCCAGCATCCCTGGCGAGCCCAACCAGAACCGCATGTTTGGCGTCGCGGCCACGCGCACGGCAGCGAGCGCGCATCGGCCCGGGCTCACGCGGCGTCGAGAGGCTGGATCCAACTATAGGGGATCGACAGCCACGTGGCGACATCCGAACCCCGCCTCCATCTATCATCTACCGCTGATCCTCCTGCATCGATGGCTGGCGGGGGTAATGTTCGGATTTCGCCACGTGTTCGACGAATTCCGCACACTGCCCCCGCCGCCCATGGAATTACTTCGCCGCCGTGCAACAGCACGCACGGGGGGTGCAGCCGTGAGGGAACGGACGGGAAAAGGGGTGAATGGTGAAGGGGAGGAGGAGGCAGTGCGACGGTGCCAAGCCGAGGGAGCAATCGCAGCGCAGCGGGGAGGCGGCAAGGGCAGCCAACCCAAGCGCGGGAGAGGTGATGCGGGGGGGCGTCTATGGAGGGGGCCCCTCTAAGAAACGCATCATCGTCGTCATCATCATCATCATCATCATCATCATCATCATCATCATCATCATCATCAGCAGCAGCAGCACCATCATCATCAGTCATCATCACCGCCGCCGCCATCATCCTCATCGCCAAACACAGTATCCACATCATCATCGCCATCGTCATGCTCACCACCATCATCACCACCACCACCATCACCGTGAACATGACCATCACCATGACCATGACCACCATAATCAGCATCGCTACCACTGTCACCACCAGTCTCATCCCTCCGTCATCGTCATCATCGCCAGGCCATCGTCATCAGCAGCATCAGTACCATCATTGTCATCAATATCATCATCAACATCAACATCATCATCGGCAGCATCATTATCATCATCATCATCATTATCATCATCATCAGCATCATCATCATCATCATCATCATCAGCATCAGCGTAGCCCTGGCCCGAGGTCCCGAGGCATGAGGGCCAGTTCGCGAGCCCTCTTTTCCTTAGCCTGATTTCGGCATTGCGATCGCGCTGCACGGCCGCCATTTGAGACCTCACACTGACGCGACATGTTGTGCCGCCAGGTAGCTGCTGCCTGTGTGACCTCACCTCGCTCCACCACCAGCTCGCGCAGGCGGGCGAGGATTCGCCGTACTCACGCCCGTCATGCGCAGATGATCAGCATCTGCATTCTTCGGGACACGCTGACCGCTCCGCCGCCCGGGACTGGGACAGGAGTACATCGGCGATCCCTTCCAGCGGTACGACGAGATGTCTGAGGATATTGAGAAGGAGGTCACCGACACAGGGAACGAGGAGGAGGAGGATCTGCTGGAAGAGGAGGGCGACGAGGACTACGAGTCGAAGATCGAGGAGGTAGACGAGGAAAAGGAGAAGGAGGATAGGAACTTGTTCACGGCGCAGGTGAAGGAGGTCTCTCTCGAGCGGGAGCAGCTGATGGAGTTCGACGGCAGGCAGTTGCCGACCACGTTCCAGGCGGGACTCGCTCTGAAGCACGGGGACACCAAGCCGCTGTGGAAGCGCAAGCCGGAGGAGGTGACTCACGAGGAATACGACACCTTCTACAAGTCCATCTCACACGATACGGGGGACCACCTGCTGGTGCAGCACCTCAGCGTACGAGGGCAGGTCGAGTTTCAAGTCGTGCTCTTTGTGTCCCGTCGGGCCCCCGTCGTTTTGCTTAACAACATCAAGCTGCGCGTGCGACGTACTTTTTGTTGTATGAATGACTGCGACGAGCTGATGCCCGAGCGGCTCCATGTCTTCGTGGGCGCGGTGGACTCCGGGGCCCTGCCGGCGTGCTTCGCCTGCGAACCCCTGATGCACAATAAGATGCTGCGAGCGCTCAAGAAGACACTCGTTGTGGAATGCCTCCAGAGGTTTTGGGGCGCCGCTGAGCAGGATGACAACTACAGGGAACTCTTCCTGCACCGGTGCGAGCGCCACGGAGGCGGGAGTGGCTTCGGTGGACTCCTCCCGTAGCGGCGGGGGCACGGCCAGGAGGGTGCCCTGCGCGGGCGCCCCTGGTGACGCCGCACACCGCAGAGATGCTGAGGCGAATGGCGGGAGCGACTTCGGTGGACTCCCCCCGTTGGGGGGGAGCACGGCCAGGCGGGTGCCTCGCGTGGGTGCCCCTGGTGACGTCGCATACCGCGGGGATGCCGACGGCGTCGGCTCTCTGAGAGAGGCGCAGTGTGAGCTGAGCCAGTGCGCAGTCCGTAGTGCTCAGTGTGCGTGTTTCTCTGCCCGTAGTGCTCAGTGTTCGTATTCCTCTGCCCAGTTGCACTCTTGCTCGGACGTGCTGCTCCGTATCCTCTGCCCGTAGTGCTCAGTGTGCGCTTTTCTCTGGGTGTGCTGCGGCAGCCGCCACGGCGACTGCGTTGTGCGGCCAGCCGCGAGGCACGTGGCCGTGCATCGCGAACTTAAGCTCGGGTGTAGCCCGATCCTAGGGGCATTTCCAGTCTCGCAGGTACTTGCTGGCCCCCATTGGGTTCTGATCTGATCAGCATCAGCGTCGTCATAATCATCATCCTGAGCATGAGCACCATTATCACCATTATCATCATCATCAGCAGCATCATCACCAACATCGACGTCGTCGTCGCCATCATCGGCATAATCATCATCATCAATCGCTCAATATCATCATCATCCCCACCACCATCACCGTCATCATCATCAGCATCAACATCATCACCACCATCATCATCATCATCATCATAATCGCCATCACCATCGTCATCCCCATCATTGCATCATCATCATCGTCGTCGTCATAATCCTCCTCATCATCATCATCCTCTTCCTCATCATCATCACCATCATCAACAGCATCAGCATTAGCATCAGCAACATCAACATCATCATCAGCAGCATCACCGTCATCACAATCATCAAGCAGCAACATCATCGTCACCAGCAGCATCAGCATCATCATCATCATCATCATCATCATCATCATCATCATCATCAACATCAACATCAACATCAACATCAACATCAACATCACCACCATCACCATCAACATCATCAAATCGTCTCCCTAACGCCTGGAGACACGAGGTGTCGCACGTGACGGCCTCCCGTGCACACTGGAAGAGTCGCAACCCAGAATGCTGGGCTGGCACGGTGGCGGGACTTGCCGCAAGCAGCTGGACACGCCTCCAGAGGTCCACGGCCCGCTGCTCAGCTGGCGGCGGACCCCCCCGCGGCGGCGCGCCAAGCGGGAAGGGGGGGGGGGACAAGGGGGGGCGGCCGTCTGAAGCTGCGGGGGCGGCCTTCCAAAAAGGCGGGGGGGCCCTCCGAAAAGGCACGGGCCCTACGCGAAGAGACGCGCCGGCCAGACGCCGCGGCTCGCGCGGGCCGCCAGCGCGGCACACCGCAAGGGAACGAAGGCGCATGCGCGCGACCCTGTGCGGGATGCTCACGCGCGAGGGTCGGCGCAGACGACCCCCCCGGTCCTGCGCCGCGCCCCCCTGTCCTCCGAGAGGCCCCCCGCGCCTTCTCGCCCGGGCGCCTCCCTCGCGCCAGCCCCTGCCGCGCGACGGCACGAGACGCGCGCGCGCGGGAGGATGCTGCGCGGACGGTAAGGAAGAATCTAGGGGACTAAATCCGGTCGAGGGGGATACTTGACTTTTCGGCCAGTCCCCCAACCACTTTCGATGGCCAGCCCTGCTCGAATAGCTTCGGCGTGGGCGTCCAAGAGGCTTGCACCCTCACCGCGCAAACACACGATCATAGGGGAACAAAAAGTGACACAAATATAAAAAGAGGTCCGCACGGATTTCTCGGATCGGCGCTGGGGCCCCCCGGCGGCGCCTCCGGCGCCAACCCTGGCGCGCTCCGCGCGCCAGGGAGGGGGGTCGAGTCCAGCGCCGATCCGAGAAATCCGCGCGGACCTTCGAGTTGTTATGCTTATGTCATTTTTCGTTCCCGTATGATCGTGTGTTTGCGCGGTGAGGGTGCAAGCCTCTTGGACGCCCACGCCGAAGCTATTCGAGCAGGGCTGGCCATCGAAAGTGGTTGGGGGATGGGCCGAAAAGGCAAGTATCCCCCTCGACCGGATTTAGTGCGTTGCCCCCCCCCCCCCCCCCTACGTTTGGACGGACACCAAAAATGCTCAACAAACAATCCAACCACTGTCAGCCATACGCAAAACGTCGTCACCAGTGGATGCTTGGACTCGTTTGGAATCGATCCCTCCGGTGGGGGGGCAGGCCCGACTTGTCCCCGCGTCCTGTGCAGCAGTTGCTGGACCTGCAGTCCTGGCCGCGCGGGCTGCAGGCGGTCCAGCCCTCGGCGATGACCAGGGGCGTCGGAGCGCCCAGCTCCTCGCAATCCCACGGGGTGGGCTTGGGGTCGCCGTCCTGGAGGAGTGGCGTCAAGACACAACCCTACACTCACGTCGGCCACGTCCTCCTGCAGGTCGATTCTCTGCGAAAAATTGTACCTACACAGAAAAGATTCCAGCGTAGCGAAACATACCAAAAAAACGTCCCTGGACTGTTTCTGACTATTCTTGAATAGTTCTCCTGTAGAGGGACGAGCCCGACTTGAACCTGCACTTTCGAAGCTCCGCGCAGGTTTTGGGATCGACCACGAGCCCCCCTCCCTGGCGCGCGGAGCGCGCCGAGGGATTGTCCAACGCAGATCCAAGAAATCCGCGCGGACCTCCGAAAGTGTCCGTGTATGCCGCTTTTTCTCCTTCGACTTCCAGAATCGAGCCCTTTGTGCAGTTCGTCAGGCAGCTCGCCCACTTCTTGTTCTTGCTGTCCGCCACCACGCCCGCGGCGGCAGATGGGCATGTCGGGCCATGGCTTTTCTGCGTTGGTCTCGCCCATTGCGAATATGTGGCCAAGCAACAGTGATGCCAATGGGCCTCCTTGTCGGGAGATGCCCCCGAGTGCCTGGCCTTCCACGTAGATTACGCAGAAGCCTCAAAATAGAGAATTCGGCAGAGGGCATACATGATCCAGGCTTTCCCCCCCTCCCCCTCCCCCCCCTAGGTTCAAGCCCCCCCCATCCCATCTGGGGGGGGGCTGTGAACTCTCTACCCGGGATCATACATGGCGCCCCTTCTGGGGATTTCCCTCCCTCCTCCCTCCCTCTTCCCCTTGCAGTTAGGAGCGACCACCATGTAAGGAACGAAGGTGCTGTTCTGGTAAAGGCGAGCCTTGGCCACGAAGAGCTTCCCCGACCTGGGTCTCTGGAAAGGCCAGAAAACCAGAGCCCCTCCCGAGCTCAAGGTGGTCCGTGTTTCTACGCCTGGGCTGTCTGATGAAGCAGTTGGTCGGCTACACGCAAGGACTGACCCTGGGTAAGAGTGACCTTTGGTGCGCGGCGTTGTGGCAGCCAAACACAAGCGCGCAAGACGATACCATCGAATCGCGTTCGGCGATCGGAGGACCCAAATGGGAGCGTACCAAAGGCCAGTCCGGCGAAGGGTCATTCTTACGTGTATCGGGGGCGGCCAAGAGGGGGGCGTCCAAAATGGGGGGGCGCACATCATGGCTGGCGGCACGTGCGCGGCCCAGGGGGGGGCCAAGGACGCAGTGACATGAGAAGAGGCGCCATGACGACCTCTGGGGAGATCTCATGGCCCACGCCATGATCTCCCCCCCTCCCCCTGCTCATCACCCCCCTTTTCGCCGCCCCCGAGTGGAGAATCGGAGGAGGATGAGGAGGAGGAGGAGGAGGGAGGAGGAGGAGGAGGGAGAGGAGGAGGAGGAGAGGAGGAGGAGGAGGGAGGAGGAGGAGAGGAGGAGGAGGAGGAGGAGGAGGTGGGTGGGACCTCCTCTGCCCCCCATGGCGGGGCCCCCCGTGCCAGACCCGAGGCCTCCCCTGGGCTGCGGGAGGCCGCTCCGCGGCTTCCCGAGGCCACCAGAGGCTGCCAGGGCGCCGGCCGGGTGCCGACGAAGGCTGCAGCGCCAGCGTCGGGGCAGAGGAGGCCCGCCGCAGATTCTGCGCGACCTCCACCCACAAACTCCTCCTCCTCGCCCTCCTCCTCCTCCTCCTCCTCCTCCTCCTCCTCCTCCGCATTCTTCTCCTCCTCCTCCTCATCCTCTGTCTCCTCCGCCTCCTCCTCCTCCTCCTCTTCCGCCTCCTCCTCCTATTCCTCATCCTCCTCTTCCGCCTCCTCCTCCTATTCCTCCTCATCCTCCGCCTCGTACGCCTCCTTCTTTTCCTCCTCCTCATGCTCTTCCTCCTCCTCCTCCTCCTCCTCCTCGTCCTCTTCCTCCTAAGGCTGCGGGGGAACGTTGGGGGCGGCGGAGTGCTTCGAGAGAGGGGCAAACCTCGAGCTCGAGCCGACGATGCATCGCAGTCGGATCGCCGACGGGCCCCCGATGGCGATTCCGCACCGGGGGGGTGGCCATCGGGCACCTGATTACCTTGGGCGCGCGCTAATACTTGGTCGTGTTGTTTTCCACCGCCCGCCACCATTACAAGTAGGAGGGGGAGGGGGTCCTCCGCCTCCTCCTCCTCCTCCTCCTCCTCCTCCTCCTCCTCATCCTCCTCCTCCTCCTCTCCGCCTCCTCCTCCTCCTCCTCCTCCTCCTCCTCCTCCTCATCCTCCTCCTCCTCCTCTCCTTCCTCCTCATCCACCTCCATCCACCTCCAGCTTATGGCGGTGGTGGTGGAAAACAAACCCATCAAACATGTATTACGGATGCGTGGATCTGGCGCGTGGGCGACAAATCATCAATCGGAAAAGGTCCCCTTCATTGACGGATGCCAATGCGACTATCGGCGATGAGTGGGTGATTGGGGATCGATGCATTTCCTCCCTGAGCCGTTCCCCCTTTAACGTTGCCCCTCAGCAGGGGTCGAAAACCCATCCTTGGACATTCTGACCACAAGTTCGGGGCACAGGCCACGAGGGACGACAAGGCATCGCCAAAGAACGACCCGATCCTCGAACTGTCCGGGGCGATCCGGGCACTCGCGGAACGCCCTTGGCGAGGCGCAGCTGCTGGGACACCCCAAGGCTGGAACACCAGTGAGATGCGAGGAGAATGGCCAAGCATCTCGAACCTCTCAAACCTCAGGACTCCCCCCCGCTGTTTTCCTCCCTAATGTCGCCCATGGTCAGGGGTCAAACATCGATCCCTGGACAGTTCCCAGGGCACGCTCTGACCACAACTTCGACGCGCGCACCAAGCCGTGGCCACGAGGGCGGGCCCAGGACGACCAGGCGTCGCCAGGGAACGACCCCCGACACTCGAGCCTCGGACCACTGAGCCAAGAGGAGGCGGAGGAGGAAGGGGATAAGAATAAGGATAAGGATAAAGATAAGGCCCTTGGGGGTCTGAGTTACTCCGCTTACTAGAAAAGGCGGGGGCCCTGGGTAAGTATATGGATGCAGGCCCCCTTTACTACTGTTGGTGCTGGGGGTTGCCTGGCGCGCGCGGCCGCCTGCCCTATGGTAGGGGCCGCTGCGCCGCAGCATGGGGGCCCTGCCTTCGATTGCTGGATCTGGGACGCAGGCGGGCAGGGGTGCCCCTCCGTGGAGGCGGGCCCCCGCCCGCTGAGAACCCCCCCCTCCCCCCGCCCCCGCGCTCCCCCGCCCGCTCTCCTCGCTGCTGGTGCGCTGCAGCACCAAGAGGAAAGATACACCAGCCCGCCCTACTGCTGAACTGACATGCGGCGGGGCTCGCCCTTCTGGCTAGTGCCGCATCGTGGGCCTCGTTGGCAGGTTAGTGCCGACGGACGTTGCAGGACAGGCGGGTCCGAAATACAAAAAGATGAGGGCAGGCTCTGGCTGGATTCGAGCTCGCGACAGCAGCCCCAGCCCCCACCCCGCCTGCTCGGCGATCGTTGCGCCGCAGGGGTGGAGGTCCCCGCTGGGACTCGGAGCCCGCCGGCTCTGCTGGGATCCTTGGCGGGGGCGGGGGCTGGATCTGCAGCTGCGTTTGCAGCACCTTGGTGTACGGCTTCCACCCCTGTGCACTCTTGCTGGGCGCCTGGCATTTGGGGCTCTGCTGCTCGCTGCTGCCACTCGCCCGCTGCAAGCTGCTGGGCCCGTCCTGGTCCACCGTCTTTACCTCGTCATAGCCCTATTCGTGGCTGCTCTCCGTCCGCTTACTGTAGCAGTCCTCGAGCTCGTCAGTCTGGAGCATCTCGTAGTCGATCTCCCATGGGAAAAGGCCCCTGGTGGAGCCGACATTGGCTGCTGAGGGAGGATGATCTCGGCACTTCGGCAGTGCTCGATGGCCTTGCTGTGCTCGTGCAGATGCTGCCGTAGTAGTTCCGCCACGTGGGTCCTCTCGATCTCATCGTAATTACTGGTTCGGGCTTCTGCTGGCCGCGACGTCGTGAGGCTCATCGTGATGCGCTCCTGCTGCTTGTACAGGCCATACAGTACCATCTGGTTGTGCTGGATGATGTCGCTGTACTTCACACTGGTGTTCTGCAGCGTTTTGTGGCACTTCTCCAAGCGGTACTGCAAGGTTCCGAAGACCTGGTCACCTGCTCCGCCTCAACGCTCGGCTGGTTTCTGACTGGCCACCTCTTCCAAGTCCATCGCCGTCTCCTGCGCGGGGGAGTTGATCTCGGCCGCCGCGGCCGCCGCCCAGGCTGTTGGGCTGCGCTGCTGCGCCAGGCAACTGGCCGCGGTGTCGGTAGTAGCTCCAACTGCGGTCCCACGCGGGGGCGACGCCGTAAACCCTGGTGGAGTTGAACAAGGCTGCGGTAGAAGGCGTACCTGGTTGGGTTGGAGTCGGAGCCTGTCGCCTTGTTCTTGGCCTGGCCTGGTTGCTACCTCGGCTGGGGCGCACGACGTAGAAGGAGAGAGCAGGCGTGGGCCCGCAGCTGCGTCGGTGGTTGTGAGAGAGGGCGGGAACACTGGGTAGCGCGGAGGAGGAGGAGGAGACGACGTACCCAAGAAGGTCCGTACGACCACCGGCCTCGACCTCGATCGACGCGAGAGCATCGACGGAGGGAGAGTGGGCCCCACGGAGGAGGAGGGAGAGGAGGAGGAGGAGGTAGAAGGATAATGATGGCAAGATGGGGTTCTCGCAGGATGCGTCCCAGGGATTCTGAAGTATCTGGCGGCCCACGTTTTTCTGCAGCCCGTCATGTGGGGCATCAGACAATGCTTTGGACATCCAGGAGGTCCTGGCAACCCTGGAAACCCTGGAAAGCAACATTAACATGGCCTCCTCCTCCTCCTCCTCCTCCTCCTCCTCCTCCTCCTCCTCCTCCTCCTCCTCCTCCTCCTCCTCCTCCTATGTCCTCCCTGAGCCTACCTTCCCTCAATCGTCCTGGGATCGGTGCGAGGGGGGCTGAGGGAATCGATGGGCTATACGTGGATGCCGACGTGGATTATGTCTGGCCTGACCGTGCTTACGGGAGGATTACAAATTTTCAAAATGGCTCAGGGGCTGCCTCTGTAACCCACGTATAAGCTAGATCAGGCCAGATACAGCCCACGTTGGCTTCCACTTATAATTTGCAGGCGTCTAGACGGTCGGAAGTGAACGGACCTCAAAAACATCTTGCAAGAAAGGGGGGAATCAAACCAAATACGCTCGAAGTCGGTTCCCGGACCCTTCCTGGGGTCCATCTGATGCAGTTTCTCACCCCAACTCAGTTCTAGACGGTCCTGGAGCCCGAATGGGCCCCTGGAGGCCGACAAGGCAAAAACGCTGTCGAACCCAAAACCTCTGGCCTCGCCGGCCCTTCCCACTGACCGGAACCAATGCTGGGCCATCTCGGCTCCCCAGCCGGCTCCGGCTCCTGACCCTCCTTAGCATACCCCCGCGCCTACCCCAGTGGCCCCCGAAAGGAATCCCGCCTCGAGGTCCTCCAGCCCCGAGTGCGGCGGCGGCGGACGCTGAGGCGCGACAGCGCGAGCGCGATAGCACTGGAAGCCCGGCTGGGAGCAGCACTTCGTCGACCGGCAGTCCTCGCCCTCTGGCGGGCAGTAGTCGTCGTCGACGCCCTGGGCGGAGCGAGCCAGGGCGGAGGGGAGATGTAAGACCCTGGTGCGGATGCCAAAAACTCGGGTTGGCCCGACGGGGCCGCCAGCGAGGTGACGAGGCCCAATCGGACACCCGACGCGAACTCCCGCTGCAAGCATTCCACGGAAACGGGGCCGTCAATGTCCAGGACGGGGGGGCTGCGCGCACAAGGTGGCGGAGTGAGAGGGGAGAGCTTCCCTGAAGAAGGCTGCCTCCTAGAAGGCAGCAGACCTCCCAGAAGGCAGCAGCCTTCCAGCAGGTCTGCTGCCTCCTAGCAGGCAGCAGGCCTCCTGGAAGGCTCGCGCCTTCCAAGAAGCAGGGGTGCGTCCGAGAAGCGCTCCCCCCTCCCCCCGCCCCCCTCTGCGCGCGGATGACAAGGGGGGGGCGGGAACGTCAGGGGGCCGCCTTCCCTCCTCGGGGGAGAAGCATCGGACTGGAACCGGCGGTACATCGCCGATGGATCGCCGATAGGCACCCGATGCCGGATCCGCGGGCTCCTGGGCCGGGTGGGCCATGGGGCCCCTACATACAGTCGGCCCCGATTGGGCAGGACACGCGAGAGGGCACAAGACCCTTCCGAGGGCCACCTCGCCACAGGAGTGTAAGAAGGCACGCGTCGCGAGGCACAGGACACAAGGGTACCCTTGAGCTGGCAGGGTCGACCTGCTAATTCGGGCCGACTGTATTGGCGACCAGATGGGCGATCGGGGGTCGATACCTCAACAAGGGCTCCCAACTTCGCGCTTCGCCCCGCGCGAAGCGCGAAGTGCGAATAACGTCGCGCTCTCGCGCCGCCTCCCAGGGGAAAAGAGCAGGATGAGGAGGAATCGGAGCCGAACCGCGAAGCGCGATAAACTTCGCGCCCTCGAGGGCGCCCTTGCTCAAGCTCTGAGAAGATCCCACCCAACGCTGCCCCGGAAGGAGTAGGAAGGCAGAGAAGCCCAGGCCCTCGGAGCAGGCCCAGAAGGCTTCCCGAGCCTCCTGAGGAGGCCCGCTGCTCGCGCTGGGGCACGTCACGACACGAGGCTTGCCGCTATTTCTAGCTTCCGAGGGGGGTCCTCCCCCAGCCTGGGACCGTCGTAAGACAACTTCGAGGAGCTTCTGACCCGGGGCAGTCCAGGCCCGGGTCAGTCAGGCCTTGCCGAACCCCGCAAGCTCCTGCAAGATCCTGTCCCCACACCCGGGTCAATGCGAAGGAGCCTGCAAGATCCTGCAGGATCCTGCACCCAAACCAGTGTCAGTGCGACCCTGGCCCTGCAGGATCCTGCAAGATCCGGCGCTTTGACTGTTCCCCGTTGGCATGGACCCCCGTCTCTTGAGCCCCGACGACTCATTAAAAACAGGTTCCTGGTACGGGGGACCAGACCCCTGGGGGCCCACGTCGGGGGTCTGGATCAGAAGGCTCAGCAGGCTTCCTTCGCTTACGCTTCCTAAGCCTTCTTTGAGGGGCAGCGAAATGGGGGGACTGGCATAGGGGGGAACACATCGACCTGGAATCGGCGATGTATCGCCGATGGATCGGCGATAGGGCCCCGATAATGAATCCGCATCTGCCTGGGCAGGTTGGGGTTATCGGGCCCCTATCGGCGACCTATGGGCGATTGGGGGTCGATGCATCCCCCCCTCTGCCTACCCCCCCCCTTATCGTTGCCCCTGGTTCTTCTTGAGCAGGAACCGACCGTCCTGGCATTCCTTTCGGCCTACCACGACATGTTCTTAGAACCCACACATGTTCTAAGAGCATAACCAATGTTCTTATACCTTAAACCCGATGTGTTCAAACAAGACAGCCCCGGCCAGAAAACATCTAAGACGTTTCGTGCAGACCACAAACGGTTCTTGCCAAAAAGAGGGGGCTCAACCGAACGGTCATTCACTGTCCCTGGATGCGTGGCGGGTTGTTGTTGTTGTTGTTTGTTGTTTGTTGTTGTCGTCCCACCCGCGACCCGCCCCGCGACACACCCGCGACCCACCCCGCGACCCACCCGCGACCCACCCGCGACCCACCCCGCGACCCACCCGCGACCCACCCCGCGACCCACCCGCGACACACCCGCGACCCACCCGCGACCCACCCCGCGACCCGCCCGCGACCCACCCCGAGACCCCCCCAGCGACCCACCCGCGACCCACCCGCGACCCACCCGTGACCCACCCGCGACCCACCCGCGACCCACCCGCGACCTCCACCCGCGACCCACCCAGCGACCCGCCCAAAATGTTCGGCGGCTGCGGCGGGTTTCTTTTGCATTCGTTCCAAATGGGAAACCTGCGACCCACCCGCGACCCAAACGGCGCCCGCGACCCACCCGCGACCCACCGCGACCCACCTGCGACCCCCCCGCGGCCCAACCCGCGACCCACCCAAAATGTTCGGCGTCTGCGGCGGGATTCTTTCGCATTCGTTCCAGGTGGAGAACCTGCGACCCATCCGCGACCCAAACCGCGTTCAATGTACAAATCAAAATGTTCGGCGCCTGCGGCAGGTTGCTTTGAATTCCTTCCAAGTTGAGGTGGAGAACCCGCGACCCACCCGTGACCCAAACTACGTTCATTGAACAAGCCAAGCATTCGGCGGCTGCGGCGGGTTTCTTTGCATCCGTTCCAGGTGGAGAACCTGCGACCCAAACCACGTTCAGTGTACAAATCAAAATGTTCGGCGCCTGCGGCGGGCCGTTTTTGAATTCCTTCCAAGTGGAGGTGGAGAACCCGCGACCCACCCGCGACCCAAACGACGTTCACTGAACAGGCCAAACACTCGGCGCCTGCGGCGGGTTGTTTTTGCATTCGTTCCGGGTGGCCCACCAGCGATCCCCCCCGCGCTGAACTTGTCAGAGCACGAGGAGGAAGACGAGGAGGAAGAGGAGCAGGAGGAGGAGGAGGAGGAGGAGGAGGGCGCCATCGATAAGGAAGGTGAGGGCCACGAGGTCCGCCGGCTCGACGCCCGCGTCGCCTGCGCCCGCCCCCTCACTCTTTTCCCCAAGAGCGGGGTGCTGCGTGACATTCTCGACCTGGACGCTCCGCCGCAGCTTGACCTTCGGAGCCGCAGGGCGCTGCTCCGAAGGCCCCCGGGCGGGGCTGCAGAGGAGCCCCGCGCCGCCCAGAGGGCGTCGCGCCACTGTCGCCTCCCCCTTTTGGCGCGCCGCCGCTCCTCCGTCCCGTTGGCGGACGGCACCAACTCCTCCTCCTGAGGAAGAAGGAAACAACTGCACAGGCGAGGCGGCTCCTCCAACTCCTCCAAAAAAGCAGCCGGAGGAAGACGGAGCCAACCCCTCCAGAAAACGACTTTCGGGGGTCCGTGCTCAGTGCACCACTGGGGGAGCGGACAGTGGCATAACCATCAAAACTCGGAGGTCCGCGGGGATTTCTCGGCTCGGCGCTCGACCCACCTGCCTGGCGCGCGGAGCGCGACAGGGGCGGTGCCGGAGGCGCCGTCAGGGGATCCCAGCGCCGATCCAAGAAATCCGCGCGAACCTCCGAGTAGTTGTCATGTTTACGTCATTGTTCGTTCCCCAGATTACAACCGTCTCCCTTCCCCGAGTGGCGGCAGCACTGGCGATGCTGTGGGGACAGCGTGTGTTGTTGAACTTCACCAGCCCTCTGGGCGCAGGTGACAAAAACACGTGTCGTTCTTCCCTGTTCCCAAACAAAGTATTCGTCTTCGGTGGTAGCCCATGGGAGCCTCCCACACCATCGCGCTGGCCCTTGCGTGAAGTCGGGCCTGTCCCCCTACAGGGGATTTTCGATGAAAAATGAAAAATACCAACCAAAAATCTAAAAATAATACAAACACAGTCTGGGGATTTGTTTTTAAATATTTGTTTACCTTTTGGGGGCATGTTGGGGGTATGTTCTATTTTTCGTCGAAAATCCCCCTGTAGGGGGGCAAGCCCGACATAACCCCTGCGGACCGACGCTGCTGGACGCCAGTCGACCCCGAACCGACGCTGCGCCGGCGCTGTCACGCCGATGGCCCGCTGCTGCTCGCCGCCGAAGACGGAGGTTGCGAGGGCACACGAGGCCCCGACGACGTGCTACCGCATGCCACTGGCCTGCAGTCGGGCCTGTCCCCCGACAGGGGGATCCTGGGCGAAACATGAAGAGTACGCAAAAAACATGCCCCGAAAATGCTCAAGCATGGTCAAGAAAGGGTCCCCCGACGATGTTCTGACTATCTTTGCACATCCCTCCTGTAGAGGGACCGGCCCGACTTCCCACTGGCCGGGGGAGGACTTCCTCCCCCCCCATTCTCCCCCGCCCTGCCTGCACGCACCCTGGACCTGGACGAGGGGTCCAGACTTCGGTCGGGCCTGTCCCCATACAGGGGGATTTCTTAGAGGAAAAATAAAGAAAATACTCAAAAATATGCGAAAGATGCCAAACAGTACTCAAAAGATAGTCCCCAGACTAGTTGTTGAGACCTGACCCGTGGGGACTCCTGCTAATTTCGAGAACGAAGCGGCATCGGAAAAGGAAAAAACGACCCTACCCTGGGTTACAAGTGCGCGGTCTGTAAACCTCCTGGGAACCCCCAAAGCCTAGAGCCGCCAGGACGCGGCACAGCACGCAGGGTTTACCCTGTAAGCCCACAGGAGTTTCAGCGCACATCGCCTCGTAAACCAGGGTAGGGGCGTTTTTTCTGCCCTCGATTAACCCCAGGAAGCATTTAAGAAACCCCCCAGCGATATCTTAGCACCGCATTTTTATTCGATATTCCGAGGGGCCGAAATAACCGCACGATAGGTTTAGCACCCGGACACACAACAAATTCGCGGAGGCCTGGCCCCTGGGCTACAATTCGCGGGTGGAGGAGAGGAGGAGGAGGAGGAGGATGAGGAGGAGGAGGAGGAGGGCTCCTGGTGCCAGGTAACGCTTCCAGGGTGCGGAAGGGTTATCGATTTGCCGGAAGGGGGGGGGGGGGGTTCTTAAATGCTTCCTGGGGTTACAGGCCCCCAAGGCCTCCTTCGGAGCCGCAGGGCGCTGCTCCGAAGGCCCCCCCGGACGGGGCTGCAGAGGAGCCTCCCGCCACCCGCCCCGAGGGCGTCGCGCCCCCCTGTCGCCTCCCCCTTTTGGCGCGCCGCCGCTCCTCCGTCCCGTTGGCGGACGCAGCCATGTCATCCTGAGAAGGAAGAGCAGGGGCCCAAAAAAAAAACCACAGTACAGGGCAGATTTTAATACATAGGATTTTTAATACAGTTGATGTTAATACATGATTAATTTACTAATAAATCAATGCATAAACTCATCGTTGTGTTTGATACTAAATCCCTGCATTTTTTATACATGATCCGCACGCGGAGCATGTATTAAAACCGGCACTGTAACCACCCCGACACGCGAAGCCGTTTAGCAACCGCGCCCAAAGAAATAGTCAAGCAGGGCAGGGCTGTTCAGCAAACGCCCAAGGCCGTTTGGTAAACGCCAATGGTCCGGACTGGGTGGTTTTTGCCTCCCTTGAAAGAAACAACTGCGCAAACACCAACTTTCGGAGGTCCGTGTTTGTTGCATCACGGCGGCTGTCTCCTTCCCCCCCGGGTGGAGGCAACACTGGCGCTGCTATGGGGAGAGCGCAGGCTGTAGAAACGGGTCGTCCTTCCCTGCCCCGGGAGCCACTATTCCTCTCTCCGGAGGCAGCTCATGGGAGCCTCTCATGCCATCTGGTTGGCTCCTGCGGATCGATGCGACTCGATACGGACCGACGCTGCATCAGCGCAAACCGATGCCAAATCGGCGCCGGCCCATCGACTGCCCGCCGCCAGTCGACGCTCGAAACTGAATGACGAGACGAGGGTACACTCGGGCCGGGCCAAAGGAGGGGATAGCGAAGGGGGGGTTGGAGAATCAGCTGCTGATTTTCCCGGCGCCTCCCGGCGCCGGAGGAGGCCATGTATCGAGGAGAGGGCCCGGCGGCGGGGCCGAAACCAGCTGCATGCAGCAGATTTCGTACCCCCCCCCTTTCCCTATCCCCCCCGTTCGCTCGGCCCGAGACTCGCTGCCGAATCCCCCTGGCCGGGGAGGAGTTGACCTCCCCCCCTCCCTGCGCACACCCTGGGTAGGGGGCCCCCGGACGCGCGAGGGGCTGGAGGGGGTCCTAATGCTGGCCCAGAAACCGGCTCGCAGGATGGATGGCCTCGCACTGCACAAAATATTATGGCCAAACGGAGGCGCAGAGCTCGAGTGGCCTCACAGATCAGGGGCGCGCAAACCTGGATTAGCGATCCATGAATGTGGCGCGCGGTCGCCAAATCCACGGATCGGGGGAGGTGCCCTCCCGAAAATGCGGCTGGTGCCACCTCGTTCGGCGGCGGAAATGTGCGATCCCCCATGGAAACGGGACCCGTGGCTAATCCACGCCCCCTCAATCCATGTTTGCGATCGCCCGAACATAGCTAACATGACGTACCCTGGCCCTTAGAGGGCCCCGAAAACGGCAGGGCCGTTTTTTCACCGTTTCCGAAAAAGAGCCCCTTGAACATGGAAACGGCCAAACAACGGCGACCAACAACGGCAACAAAAACGGCTCCAATATTGGAACTGGAGCGGGAACCCATCAAAAAACGGCGACGGAACCGGTGAAAAAACGGCGTCGGAACCGGCAACAAAAACGGCAAAACGGAACCGGTACAAAAAGCGGCCCTGTCGTTAGAGGAAAAAGAGCTGTGCGCATACAACGATTCTGGCCAGGCCGATCCTTAGCCCAGGATCGGTGCATACGCCCGCCTGCCTTGGCCAGGAAGGCATATGCACCGATCCTGGGTCAAGGATCGGCCTTGCCAGGATCGGTGCATGTGCATAGTTCTCTTCGCCCGAGTCGCTTCCAGGGCCCACTATTGAGGGATGAAAAAACGACCCTACCCTGGGTTACAGGTGCGTGGTCTGAAAACCTCCTGGGAACCCCCAAAGCCTAGAGCCGCCAGGACGCGGCACATCACGCAGGGTTTACCCAGTCAGCCCACAGGAGTTTCAGCGCACAGCGCCTCGCAAACCAGAGTCGGGGCGTTTTTCCTGCCCTTGACACTAAGCCCTGGCTTCCCCATGGCTCGAATGCCCTCGCACAACGCAGTGCGGCCGCAGTCAGCCTCCAAAGCGTGCGGAAGAAACTCCCCGACTGCACCGAGGCGGCTCCAAATGCCCCTTGGGCCCCACGTGTTTTTTTTTGTTTTTTTTTTTTTGTTTTGTTTTTTTACCTGCACGAAGGAGCCCAGTGGCACGAACGGCGGACGAACGAAGGACGACGACGAACAACGGGCCCAACGAACGAGGACGACGACGAGGACGACGACGAACAACGGGCCCAACGAACGAGGACGACGACGAAGGACGACGACGAACGAAGGACGACGACGCACGAACGAAGGCCCCACGGGCCCCTGCCCCCCCCCAAAGGAGCCTCAGACAGTCCCCTGCTGTGTGCCTTCTTCCCGCTTCGCCGCCGGTGGGCATCTCAGGTGCTCAGACTGTCCCAGACAGCATAAGTTGAAGGGGAACTGGAACACACAAATAAATACACACAAATAAAAGGATTCCCCTTATTTTCCTATATTTTCTGGGTTTCTGTCTTCCCGCCCAACTCCCATATTTTCCTATATTGTCTGGGGAATCGACGATTAATTGTGTCTGTGTGTTTCTTCCCCTCCTGAAAGTAGAGACACGGGAGGACCTTCAGACAAGACGGCCCCAGAGACCCGAAGAGGCCCGCAAGCACGCCGCCCCCAGAGGCCCTCATAGACACTTCGCTTGGCTTCCGAGGGGGAGGGCCCCGACCCTTTGAGCCGTGGAGCCAAATACTGCGGCAGAAAATCCCCAAACCCCTCCATAACGCCCATAAGCAGCCTCAAAAGGGCCCCGAGACAGTCCTAACATGACCCCAAAATGGCCACAAGGAGACCGCAGTATTCCTCCAAGTTTCCTAGAAACATGGTAGCACAACAAAATGTCCACGAAGGCATCCTATTCGACGTCGCCCTCATCCTCCTCTGTTCCACCTTGTGTTTCCTCCTCCTCCTCCTCCTACTCCTCCTCCTCCCCCTCCTTCCTCCCCTTTCTCCTCCTCCTCCTCCTCCTCCTCCTCCTCCTTATCCTCCTCCTCCTCCTCCTACTCCTCATAATCATCTTCATATTGCTCCTCCTCGCTCTCCTCATCCTCCTCCTCTCCCGCAGCCTCCTTATCCAAGCGACGCGCTGATGCGCATCGTTTCTGGATGTGCGAAACGTCTAGAATTCGTCGCTGGGATCGTTAACGACTGCTGCTCTCCACGCGAACTTCATGCAAGATTGGCCCCAGGCCGAACTCCACATGTTCTTATGTGTTCGCGACTGGGAGCTGGCGAGGGTCCGACTATCCAAGCCCAGGGTCGATAGAGCGCGATTTTCCATGTTCGGCGATGACGGGCGTCATGGGCGGGGGAAAAGGGTATGACGTAACGCCCCCCCCCCCGCGGTGTGGGTCCGGCACCACAGCCGCGCCCGCGCGCACGACGCAACAATCGACGACGAAGACGACAACGCCGCGAGCAGCATGTAGGCGGCGATCTGCCCCACTGCGCCTGTGTACACCACATCGCTCGCGTGCAACACAACGCGCGTGTACACCACACCGCCTGCGTACACCGCAACAAACGTGTGCAACGCAGCGCCTGTGCACGCAGCAATGCTTGCGTACATTACAGCGCTGGTGTACATGCGTACACCGCAGCATTTTTTTCGGGGGGGGGCAAAGCCCAGAGAGGACGGCGGTGACCGACGCCCCCTGCGCACGCCACGGGCGCACGGAAGTCCGCCGCCGCCGACGACGCGTGGGCCGTCGCGGCTCGGGGAACCCGCCGATGACGCGTGGGCCGTCGCGGCGGGGCGCGCTGGTGGCGCCGAAGGGTCGCGCGGCTAGCGCGGCCGCGTGGCGGGGGCGGCAGCGCTCGGGAAGCCTGGTGCCTCGCCAGCCGCCGCGCCGTCGGCGAGGCGAGCCGAGCTGGTGGGGTGCTGACCCCGCCGAATGCGGTGAGCCCGAAGACGTCGAACGCGCCCAGCCTCGCCCACGTGCGGGGCGCACTGAGCCGCTAAAGCTTTGATGCTGCCGAGGCGCCCCCTGGCGTAGGCGTGGCACCTCGCGCACAGCACGTAGCCGAATGCACGCTGCACGATGTGCCCGAGGGCGTCGCGCGCCCGCGGCGCGTCCTCCTCGGCGTCGGCCTCGCCCCCCGCAGGCACCGCTGGGCCCGCCGACGGCGGGGGGTGCTGGCGGCCGCGGCGTGGAGATCGGGGCGTCGCGGCCGCCTCCGAGGTCCACCCGCGGGGGGTCGTGGCTCCGACCAGGCCACTGGCCGCGGCGGCGGCCTGGGCCGCCGCGGCCCCCGCCGGGGCAGGCGGCGGGCCCCCCGAGCTCGACGCTGGGCCCCGGCCGCGGGCCGCGCCAACCTCGCCTGCGGTCGCGGGCCCCTGCCCCGCCGCACTCGGCGCGGGGCCCTGGCCCCGGACGGTCTATTGAATCGGTTCACTTGGTTACTGGGCGGCCAAATTTAGCTAGAGCCTCCTGGACGCAGATAGGAGGACGTACGGTGATGCGGGCGGACTCTGGAGGACTCGTAGATTCCAGCGGCGATCCTCTGTCCAGAAGGATTCCTTTTTCTGTTGTTTGTGTGGAGTCCACAAGCGCTTCATTTTGACAAAACGGTATCTTGTAACATTCTACCTGCAACAATTGGCGTTGTGTTGCACACGGCGGCTGTGTTGCACACGGCTGATGTGGTGTACGCAGGCGCTGTGGTGTACACAAGAGCTGTTTGTGCCCGCAGGCACGGAAGCACAAACTGGTGTTGTGTTGAACGCGGTTGCTGTGGTGTACATAGGCAGCGTGGTGTACACAGTCGCTGTGGTGCACACAGACTTTGGTGCACGCAGGCGCTGTGGTACAGATCACCACCTACATGCTGGTGCTACCCGTCCTCCGCCATTCTTAGGCATTCCCAGACGCCGCTGGCGCGAAGCGTGACGTCATCGACCCCCCCACCCCCCGCCAGATGATTGCTGCCATTGGCCCAGCATAAAAAACATGCTCCAGCCGCGTCCGCGCGCACGACGACGATGAGCGACGAGCGACAAGCGACGACGATGAGCGACGACGACGACGACGACTCCTATTCGCATTCCTACGCAGACACCTGCGCAGATCCCAATGCGCACGGCGGCAGCGCCCGGAGGGCACTCGGGAGGGGGGGGGGAGGGTTACGTCATAGGGGGGGGGGGGGGGGCGGGGGCCATGACGCCCGTCATGCCCCAAGCAATAAAGAAACGGGCCCATACCACTGCTCGACGGACTCCCGACAGTGCTTGCCACACGAAGCGGAAACGCACGTCTTAACACGGCGCTTGCATTCTGGACGCCGCTCGCAGGCGGACGAGGGGTCGGAGCTGGGTGGGCCCCGAGAGAAGCGGCCAGGAAGGGGGGGTGAAGCCAAATCCGACCACGAGCGGCCCCCAAACCCCTCCACGGGTGCCTCCCGTGCAGCGTCGCAGCCCGGAGCCGTGGCTCACGGCCCTTGGGGGCCCGACGGAGGCCCCCCCCCGTTGCGAGGAGGCCGGGCCTCCTCGAAGGTCCTCCTCCTCCTGCTTCCTCCTGATCCTGCTTTCTCCTGCTTGTTCCTCCTCCTCCTCCTCCTCCTCATCCTCCTCCTCCTCCTCCTCCTCCTCGAACCCTGCCCCCCGGTTTCCTGCTCGCCAGAACCGGGGCCGGGCCACCTCAGACCCCCAGCCGGCTCCAGCCTGCATGCTGGACGCCGCATCCACATCTGCTCTTCGGTGCAGGGCGCCGAAGCGCAGACGCTGCGTCCAGGCTGGCCGAGTCTTGCACGATCGTCGTCTACTGAACAAGTACGCTTCATTAAACAGTGCCGACTCAGACTGTCGACGCTTGCGCCTCAACAGAGAAGGGAACGCTTCCCGCCAGCCAGGGCTCGGAGAGAGCACCAAAATGACAACGTGAACGTCAAGACTAGCCGATTCGATCAACATCTGATCTGGATGTGAGCCGGAACTGTTTTAGCCACCCTTCAGACCTCGCAGCCCTTCTGCTCCGTCTGGCAGCAGAACGCCTTCTTGTCCACAGACCACCCAGCAGCCCAATTTGAGTAGCCCGCGTCGCAGTCGTAGTCGCAGCCCTTCTGCTCCTTCTCGCAGCAGAACGCCTTCTTTGCCGCAGACCACCCAGCAGCCCAATTGGAGTAGCCCGCGTCGCAGTCAAAGTCCTCCCCTCCCCCACGCCGCTTCTCCCCTCCCCTTCCCCCACTTAAAAAACGGCATCACCATACAGTGAAATTTCGACGGTCCGCGCGGCTCTCTTGAATCTTCACTGGACCCCCCTCCCTGGCGCGCGGAGCGCACCAGGGGCGGCGCCAGAGGCGCCGCCAGGGGATCCCATGCGCCGACCCAAAAAGTCCGCGTTGAACTCCGAATGCCGATTATCTTCTTCGATTTCCGCTCCGCCCTTCCATACTAGAAACGGCGCGCTCCCTCTGCATCCCGTAGGACCTTGTATCCCTTATAATGCAGTGCTTATGCCACTTGAGATCCTCGGACCGCCGCCGAAGTTTAGGAACCTCGGCTGCGCCGAGGGGGCGTCCTCTTGCATCCCAGGGCGCCAGATGCATTCTCTGAGGCCAAACGAGTACAGGCGAAGACTCTAAGACCGCGGGCCGCCTTCCCTCCTCATCTCCCCCTTTCGCGCCGTCCTCTCCGCGTTCCATCGCGGCTCCTGGCCACTCTTGCCGAACGCGTGCCCGCACCCTCCCCGACCCCTCGGGCCAGGCTCAGCGGTGAGGCATCGTGGACCGAAGCTCTCTTTCCAGAGTTGAGCACGGACCGACCGTCTCGGCATTCCTCTAGGCCTACCACGGAATGCTCTTAAAACCCATAAATGCTCCAAGAAGAAAAACAGTGTTCTTAGAACATAAGCCCGATGTGTTGAAACAAGGCAGTCCCAGCCAGAAATGTTCTAAGAACAAACTGTGGAAACCACACGACGTTATTAGAACATTGTTTGGCAGGCCGATAGGCAAGCCAGGACGCTTCGCCACTGCTTGACAGAGAGCTTGGCCGCAAAACCTCTTCGGGCCCCGGCTCAGCGTCTGGGAGGGACAAGGTGAAGAGAGATGCATCGGGAGGAGAAGCTTCCCACGAGCGCACTGCCCCACCACGGGGAGGAGTGGCGTTTGAGGGCAATGGCTAAATCCACACCCAGTGCGTCTAAGAGTTTGTTCAGTGTCCACCACAAGGGGGAAGACCCTGAGGGGGGTGTGAATTCGATCCGCTGGTGCATCGACTTTCCGAAAAACGATGCCCCCCGCGCGCCCCGATTGTCGACACCTCTCGGTTCCGGCGGCGGCCGGAGACCTCGTCTTGCATCGATGTTCTGCGGTTCGATGCGCCAACGGACCGAACTCACCCCCCCTCCTGTGGCACCACCCCCCCTTACGAGGTCCCGATGTTGGGCTCTCTTCCACAGAAACCAGAATCTGGAGGCGCACTGGATACTCGGATCAAAAATCTGGCCCCCAAAGGCTCGACATGTTATCCCTATCCAGTGCGCCTCGGCCTCGCGGCACCGATTCCCCAGCAAGTCCAAGACGCCCTGGATGTATCGAAGCACTGCCCGCAGCGTGCAGCACCCGCTCCGAGCACAAAAACAAAAAAACAGCAAGCGAGCGCGCCAGGGAAAAAGGTCCCGCGCCCGTCCCAGAAATCCGCGCATCTTGCAGTGCGCGTGGTTCTTCAATGGGCCCTGGAGGCGACAGGGCCGCGTGTGCTACTGGTTCTGTTCTGCCGTTAGCTTGCGGGCTCCGACGCCGGTTTGGTTGCTGGCTCCGTCGCCGTTTCTTTTTCTGGTTCCGGCTCCGTTTCCAGTCCACGAGCCGTTCTTGTTGCCGTTTCGGGTCGCCGTTCTTGTTGTCGTTTTCATGTTCGAGGAACCCTTTTCCGGAAGCGGTGGAATTATCCCGGCAAAGCAACCTAACAGCGATGTGTAGAAGCATATCTGGAAGCATATCCCTTAAGATTCGGATGAGAATCCAGTTGTAGAATTCTGCTGTTCTCGCAGTCGTAATCGCATTCGCGATGACAGTCGCAGTGGCAACGGCAGTCGCAGTCACAGCCTCAGCCTCAGCCTGCCTCAGCCTCAGCCTCAGCCTGCCTCAGCCTCAGCCTCAGCCTCAGCCTCAGCCTGCTTCAGCCTCAGCCTCAGTCTGCCTTCAGCCTCGGCCTCAGCCTCAGCCTGCCTCAGCCTCAGCCTGCATCAGCCTCAGCCTCAGCCTCAGCCTGCATCAGCATCAGCCTGCCTCAGCCTCAGCCTCAGCCTGCCTCAGCCTCAGCCTCAGCCTGCTTCAGCCTCAGCCTCAGTCTGCCTTCAGCCTCGGCCTCAGCCTCAGCCTGCCTCAGCCTCAGCCTGCATCAGCCTCAGCCTCAGCCTCAGCCTGCCTCAGCATCAGCCTGCCTCAGCCTCAGCCTCAGCCTGCCTCAGCCTCAGCCTCAGCCTCAGCCTCAGCCTCAGCCTCAGCCTCAGCCTCAGCCTCAGCCTCAGCCTCAGCCTGCAGCCAGCCTGCCTCAGCCTCAGCCTCAGCCTGCAGCCTCAGCCTCAGCCTGCTTCAGCCTCAGCCTCAGTCTGCCTTCAGCCTCGGCCTCAGCCTCAGCCTGCCTCAGCCTCAGCCTGCATCAGCCTCAGCCTCAGCCTCAGCCTGCCTCAGCATCAGCCTGCCTCAGCCTCAGCCTCAGCCTCAGCCTGCCTCAGCCTCAGCCTCAGCCTGCTTCAGCCTCAGCCTCAGTCTGCCTTCAGCCTCGGCCTCAGCCTCAGCCTGCAGCCTCAGCCTGCAGCCTCAGCCTCAGCCTGCAGCCTCAGCCCTCAGCCTCAGCCTCAGCCTGCCTCAGCCTCAGCCTGCCTCAGCCTCAGCCTCAGCCTGCTTCAGCCTCAGCCTCAGTCTGCCTTCAGCCTCGGCCTCAGCCTCAGCCTGCCTCAGCCTCAGCCTGCATCAGCCTCAGCCTCAGCCTCAGCCTCAGCCTGCCTCAGCCTCAGCCTGCCTCAGCCTCAGCCTCAGCCTGCCTCAGCCTCAGCCTCAGCCTCAGCCTGCCTCAGCCTCAGCCTCAGTCTGCCTTCAGCCTCGGCCTCAGCCTGCCTCAGCCTCAGCCTGCCTCAGCCAGCTCAGCCTCAGCCTGCCTCAGCCTCAGCCTCAGCCTCAGCCTGCCTCTGCCTCAGTCTCAGCCTGCCTGCAGCCTCGGCCTCAGTCTGCCTTCAGCCTCGGCCTCAGCCTCAGCCTGCCTCAGCCTCAGCCTCAGCCTGCCTCAGCATTCAAAATGTAGCCCGGGAATGCAGTTCTGGGAACTCGAAGACCACGAAGTGGCCTACAATTGGCTCCGGGCATTCAAAATGTGGCCCGGGAATGGAGTTCTGGGAACTCCAAGAACACGAAGTGGCCTACAGTTAGCTCCGGGCATCCAAAATGTGGCCTGGGAATGGAGTTCTGGGAAGTCGAAGAGCACGAAGTGGCCTACAGTTGGCTCCGGGCATTCAAAATGTAGCCTGGGAATGGAGTTCTGGGAAGTCGAAGAGCACGAAGTGGCCGACAATTGGCTCCGGGCATTCAAAATGTGGCCCGGGAATGGAGTTCTGGGAGGTCGAAGTGTGTGACTGTTTGCTTAAAACGAGCCCGGCCCTCGCCTGTCCGGCTCCCGCCCAGACCCCCCTGGGGAGTCATCAGATGCTCTCTTGTGACCCCATTAGAAACCTATCAGTCTTCGCTGTTAGGTAAAAACGGCGCTACCGTGTTGCGGGGCCCAGGGCCCACTGAGGTGTAGTTCCACCAGCCCTCTGCGCGTAGGTGATTTAGCGAGTGTTGTCTTTTCTCTGCCCAATAGCCCGTCTTCCCCTGCTCGGGAGAAGGGTTTACCACTGCCCCCTGTCAGTATGCACCCCCTCCACAAGGCGACCGGCAGCCAACGAGGAACAATGAAGATCCCACGGACGGGAGGCCCCCCCCACCACCATCCCTGCCAACCAAACAATACAAAGCACACTCTGGGGAAACGTCTGGAGCCAGGTCCGTGAGGCCCGCGAGCACGTCTGACTGTCTGTTGGCAGGGACGGCGGGGGTGTCAGCAAGTTGCCTGCTGCGCGCAGGGCTATCACCCTTGACAAACACAATGCAACATGCACCTCGCAGCTGAATCTGGATCTGAATCTGGATCCCGCGATCACTGTCAAATGGTAGCGTACGGCCTGCTGCTCGCAGACACACTAGAAACAATGATGGGCATTGGTTTTCGACATGGATGGTGGGGATCGACATGTTTCCCGATATGTGCTGTCACGTGCGCAGGCGCACTTGACACACTCTGCACGTGCCCCGAACGTGGCGCACTTAGCGCGGCTCGAGTATGTAGCACACCTGGCGCACGCGGAGGCACGTGGCGCATCTGGCGCACCAGGCGTGCCTGGCACGCTCGGGCCCAAAGGTGCCTTGCGCGCGTGGCGCGCCTGGCACGCGTGGCGCACCTCGAACGAACGTCGCGCACATGGGCTCGATGTTGGTTCCCAGTAGCTGCCCATCCAGAGACGACCGCTGAACATGCTGAGCCTCGGGTGTTGCTTCTGTGCTGGGAGGGCGGTTGGCAGTGAGCTAGACGGCTTGCTATCTAGGAAGATGTCTGGATCACTTTTCCTGATTAATATACATCTCTCCCCCATCTGGCCGGCGGACTACCCGGAACCTTGACGACCCCATGAGGGCCACCCCCCCACCATCCCTATCAAAAAACAATACAAGCACACCCTGCCTCCACATTTGGAGCATACGCGGCCGCCCCGCGACCAATTTACATTGGTTTTTTAAAGGGACGGCTGGGGTGCCAGCAGATCCTACCTGCCTTCTGGGCGCAGGTGGTCGACCGACTGGTGTGATACATCATTGGCTGCTACCTTTGAGCCTTGCTGTTTCCGATGACATTTCGAAACCTCCACATGATATGGCTCCAAAATTGGCTAAGAAAGCTCAAAGCCGGGCCAACGAGCCCTTATTGGTTCCCAGTGGCTGGCGCACCTGGCGCGGCTGGAGCACGTGGAACACTGGGCGCACGTGGAGCACGTGTCGCACCTGGCGCGACTGGCACGCTTGGGCCTCCAGGGTCTGGTGCATCTGGAACCCGTGGCGTCTGCAGCGTTCTTACGCGGTATGCTGATTCAAGGGTGTTACGTATGTGTTGGGAGGGCGGGTGGGAGTGAGCAAGCCGGCTGGCGGGGGCGGGTGGGAAGCTTGACCCCTCCCCCTACCCCGTCCCATGGGCCTGGGAGGGGGGGGCGCGGGTAGTTAGAGGGTCGAAGATGGCAAGATGGCTCCGGGAGGGCCTCAGAGGCCTAAGGCCCAAGATGGCATCCAAGAGGGCTCAAGATAGCTCAAAGATAGTTCAAGATGGCTCAAGATAACTTGCGGCACGCATCCCAGAGGCCTGAAGACTGCCGCAAGACGGTTTCAAGTGCCCTCCGAGCCCCAAGGACCCCCCCAAGAGGCACAAATTGTCCAAAACCTGACGAACATTGACGATGTTTGCCTTCTCGCCCTTTCGCTTCCCATGGGCCTCGGAGGCCTCAGGATGGTCCAAAGATAGCCCAAGAGAGCACCAAGAGGGACCTCAAAGGGCTCCAAGACGGACCCAAGAGCGCCCAAGAGCGCCCCAAGGGCGCCCCAAGACGGCCCCATGACGCCATTTTTGAGCATCCGAGGGGAGGGGGGGGGCTGGATTTCTGACCCCCCTTTTTGAACAATGGAATCTAACATTGCCTCAAGAGGCCTCCCCAAAGTGCACCAAGTGTCCCGCGAGGGCCCCACCAAAGAGCCAAGATGGCTCCAAGAGACCTCCGAGAAATCACTTCCAAAAGGCGGTTGTTACACTGCTGTGTCTGTGTAGTTAATGTTTGTGTAGTTCATACTTGCGTTAGTTTTTCTGTGCATGTCCTAGAAAGGACTCCAACGGGGCTTTCTGTTTGTGCACTGTGCTCGCCCTCGGCTCAGCGGACGACGAAGGTTTCAAAACAAACTGCTTCGCCGTCGGTCACAGCCGCCCCAAGGCGGCTGGAATGTTTCATGCCCGCCGCGGAGGCACCCCGGGGCAGAAAGCTCCCTCGCTACCCCTGCACAAGCGCCCCCGATGGCGAGACCGTTTGGGTTGCACCGTCAGCGCCGGTGGAACGCTGGAGCGGGCGGCCGTCAGTGCAGCAGTCCTCCTCCTCCTCCTCCTCCTCCGCCTCCTCCTCCTCCTCCTCCTCCTCCTCCTCCTCCTCCTCCTCTACGTCCCCCGATCGATCGATCCTTCTCCTCTTCGCCGTCCGCTGCTGCACCGTCCGCGCCGGTGGTCGAGGCGCCGCCCCCCTGGCCGGCCGCAGGCTCTGCGTCGTCCGTGGCCGGGGGGGCCTCCTCGCCCGGTGCCCCTGCTGCCGGCGCCTCGTCGCCGGGGGCCTCGGGCTCGGCCACGGGCTCGTCTGTGGCATCGCCCGGCGCCTCTCACGAGTAGGGAGCCCACAAAGGACGTACGCGCCCAGCTATGTACATGAACACGGCCCCTCGATTCGCGAGACCCGCCGCGTTATACGAACATTTGTGCAATGCGTGCTCTCGAAACCAGCGTGGATTCATGTACATGTACGTCCTTGTTTCGCTCCTGAACGAGCAACGGACATCTCGACACACGTGCTCTCGAGGCGCAGAATCCGGGACGCTGCTCCCGTGGATGCGCGGCCGCATGGGCACGCTTCGCGCGGCGCAGCCGCGAAAAAACGGCCCGAATCCACGGGGTCGCCGCCCAAGGGCCTCGCCCGCGAGGCCGTGGATACGGATATACCCAGAGCCCCGACGGCCCTGAGGCATAGGCCTGGCATGGCACCCGGAAGCCGAAAATGTAGTGACAAAATGATAGGTCGTGATTTCTTCAAGACGCAAGGGGGTCTGGCTCCTCCAGACTTCATATGGTAATGAGAAGACTGATAATAATCCCACCAGCCCTTTGGGAGACAGGTGGTCTAAGGATGGTCTCCTATCTCTTCCAGATGACCAGAGCGGCCTCAGAGAGCCCAAGATGACCTCCAAGATGGCTCAAATAGCCCAAGCTGGCTCAAAATGGCTCCCAAGATGCTCAAAACAGCCCTAAGACCGCTCCAAGACAGCTCGAGATGGCCACGGATCCTCACGAGCCTCCCTCGCTGTTAGACTACTCGTGTCTATTCCTCTCTCCCCCCGTCAACTCTCATGGGCATCGTTTCTGGATGGGCAGTGGGGATTTTTTTGTCGCAACCGCAAGCGAACGCGCAGGCGGCGAGTAAAAGGTCCGAGCGGGCCGCTCAAGAGGCGGTGGGGATACGCGCAGCGTCAATAAACGGAGTAAGGGGGCCGAACGGTCATTCATTGTCCCAGGGACCGCGGCTCTAGTGGGGATCCGTGGTGAGGATTCGGCCCAGCGCGCGACCCAGCCCGCGACCAAGCCCGCGACCCACCTGCGACCCACCCCGTGACCCGTCCGCGACCCACCCGCGACCCACCCGCGACCCACCCCGCGACCCAAAATGCGACCCACCCCGCGACCCACCCCGTGACCCACCCCGCGACCCACCCCGCGACCCACCCCGCGACCCACCCCGCGACCCACCCCGCGACCCACCCGCGACCCACCCGCGACCCACCCGCGAATACTACCCCGCGACCCACCCGCGAATACTAATATGATCGTACTACGGGTAAGATTCATCGTGCTACCAATCACCCGTAACACCCCGCAGTTGCGGATAAGAGTGAGGGAGCTGCGAGGACGTCCTCAGTCTGCGAGGCTCTGGAGAAGCCCGCCGCAGGCGCCTAACTTTAACAACTTCTGCATTGAGCCCGCCGCAAGCGCCGATTTTTTCGTTAAAACCTTGAGGGTGGATGGCGGGGTGGGTCGCGGGTGGGTCGCTGGTGGGTCGCGGGCTGGGTCGCGGGTGGGTCGCGGGAGGGTCGGGCATGGGGCGCGGGTGGGTCGCGGGGTAGATCGCGGCGGGTCGCGGGTGGGTCGCGGGGTGGGTCGCGGGTGGGTCGCGGGGTGGGTCGCGGGGTGGGTCGCGGGTGGGTCGCGGGGTGGGTCGCGGGGGGGGTCGCGGGGTGGGTCGCGGGGTGGGTCGCGGGTGGGTCGCGGGTGGGTCTCAGGCGGGTCACAGGCTGGGTCGCGGGTAGGTCGCGGGTGGGTCGCGGGCTTGGTCGCGGGGTGGGTCATGAGGTGGGTCGCGGGGTTGGTCGCGGGGTGGGTCGCGGGGTGGGTCGCGGGGTGGGTCGCAGGGGGGACGACGACAACAAACAGCAACAGCAACAGCAACAGCAACAGCAACAGCAACAGCAACAGCAACAGCAACAGCAACAGCAACAGCAAAAAGCAGCAACAACAACAACAACAACAACAATAATAACAACAACAACAACAACAACAACAACAACAACAACAAACAACAAACAACAAACAACAAACAACAAACAACAAACAACAAACAACAACACCAACACCACCAACAACAACAACAACAACAACAACAACAACAACAACAACAACAACGACAGCACCATCACCAACAACAACAACAACAACACCAACAACACCAACAATAACAACAACTATCATTTTAAGACTGTTCGCTCTTACTTGCCCGCGTGCCATGTAACGTGTATACCCACGCCCTCGATACCCGCCCCCTTCGTCTTCGAGCGTACCCCCTTCTGGGGGGATTGTTTCTTTTTGCAGGGGCGGGCGGGCTTAGACAAGCGGGCGTGAACGGGCGGGGAATTATTCGGAGGATGGGGCACGCATCTCTTTGCCTACCATTGGAATTAGCGCGGGCCCTGCAAGAAGAGGAAGGGGGAGAACGAGGGAGAGTGGGAGGAAGGGAGGGGGAGGGACGAGGCTAAAGGGGAACACGCCAGGAGAGAGGGGGCGAGGAGGGGGGGGGGGACGATTGGAGATAGAGAGACAGAGGAGGGAGGAAGGAGGCTGGAGAGGGGAGGGCGAAGAGAGGAGGGAGGAGGGTTATGGGAGGAGGGTGAGGGGAGAGAGGAAGAGGGAGGAGGAGGGTGGATATGAGGGAGAGGGGAGGGAGGAGGGAGGTTGGATGGGGAGGAAGGGGCAGGAGGGTAAGAGTGTGAACGTTCGAGGAAGTCCTAGGCGAGGGCGTATTCCTCAAGGGAGAGTTGGGCGGGAACGGGGGTCCCGAGTACATTGTCGGACGTCTCAAGCGGGAGCGCCGGTCGGGCGGGCGGACCCTGACGGGCGGGTCGGGCGGGCGGGACATTCAAACGGGATGTTTGCGTAAATTGCGAGGAAGTATTAAGCGAGAGCGCGATTCCTAAGTAAATTGCAAGGGCGTCCTTGGCGCGAGCGAGGTTCCTGACCGTCGAGAACGCGATGCTGCAATAAATTGCGAGGAAGTCCGAAGCGAGAGCGCCATTCCTGAGTAAATTATGCGGAAGTCTCGGGCGGGAGCAGGGGTCCTGATTCAGGAAGTCTCAAGCGGGAGCGCCGCTTCTGAGTAAAATGTAAAAAAAGTCTGAAGCGGGAGCGCCATTCCAGAGCAAATTTTGAGGAAGTCTCACGCGGGAGCGGGGGTCCTGAGTAAATTGTGAAGAATTCTCAAGCGAGAGCCGTTGTTGTTGTAGTCCGGGGCCCAACAACGCAATCTGAAACGCAACGCTTTCCCTGTCAAAAAACAGAGTGCGAGCCCCGGAGGCAGCACTTCAATTGAAAAAAACAATGGGCACCGGACAGGGGGGATCAATAATAATTATTCTTCAGAAGTGAGAGTTCAGCAACAACAACAACAGCAACAACAACAAGAACAACGCCAACAAGAACGCCAACAACAACGCCAACAACAACAACACCAACAACAACAACAACAACAACAACATCAACAACAACACCAACAGCAACAACAACAACAACAACAATAATTTCAAGACCGTTCGCCCTTATATGCTCGAGTGTTCAATAACGCGTGTTCCCCAAACCCTCGATACCCGCCCTCTTCGTCTTCAATCGAACCCATTTTGGGGGGGAGTACCTTTCTTCCCTGCAGGCCGGGCCCCGGCAAGCGGCGGGGCGGCTGCGGACCGTCGGCCTGGACAGCGGCAGCGCTGATCGGCGGGGCGGCCGCGGACCGTCGACCCGACCCGAAGAGGGACGGACAGGGGACCGACCACGACGACGACGACGACGACGACGACGACGTCGACGGCGACGGCGACGACGGCGAGCGAAAGCGAGAGGGAGAGATAACGAGAGCAGGGCCACGAAGGGCACGAAGTAGGCCACGAAGGGCGACAGCGGGGACAAGAAGGGAATGTGTGAGCGCGAACGATCGGGGGCCACGAAGTGCAGATAATGCGGGGCCACAGAAGGCAACTATGGGGCCACTGAGGATAGCAACTGGGCCACGTAGGACAGTGAGGGGGACACAAACAGCGACAGCGGGGCCACGAAGGGCATGCACATGGGGCCACAATGGGCGCGACTCCTGGGTGCCTGGGTGTCGGGAGCGCGGCGCTTGGGCAAATTGCAAGAAATTCCAACGCAAGGCCATTCTTCAGTAAGTTGCAAGCAAGTCTCCAGCGAGAGCGCGACTCCAGAGCGCCGGAAGAGCGATTCCTCAATAAATTGCAAAGAAATCAAAAGCGAGAGCGCGATTCCTGAATAACATGCGAGGAAGTCTCACGCGGGAGCGGGGGTCCTGAGTAAATTGTGAAGAATTCTCAAGCGAGAGCCGTTGATGTTGTAGTCCGGGGCCCAACAACGCAATCTGAAACGCAACGCTTTCCCTGTCAAAAAACAGAGTGCGAGCCCCAGAGGCAGCACTTCAATTGAAAAAACAATGGGCACCGGACAGGGGGGATCAATAATAATGATTCTTCAGAAGTGAGAGTTCAGCAACAACAACAACAACAGCAACAGCAACAACAACAACAACAACAACAACAACAACAACAATCATTTAAGACTGGGGACATTCCGTTCTCACCAGTGCCAGGGTTTTCCTAGGAGGCGGGCAATACCCCCACTTTGTGGGGGGGCCGGTTCAAGCTCTACCAAATTTCCATACGACTCTTCGCCACCACCCACACCCAGCTCCCCGCCCTATGACGTTCGGACACTTCACTTCGTGGCATGCGGACGACCGTGGCTACTATTCAGGGCCCCGCGGCCGACGACGACGGCGTGCGCGCGCGAAGAAAAAACGAATGTGTCCAATATGGTATTATTTGACAGGGATGATGGCCCTGGCATGCGCGCAACCGTTGTTGCAGAAGTTCGAAGCACGTGAAAAAGTTGCTCGCAAGAGCCCGTTTGACAGAAATGTTGAAAAAATATTGGGTTTCCTCAGAAATCCGCAAGAGCGCGCAAGATGAATTTTTGAAACTTTTTTTTGAAAAACCATTGGGTTTTTCATGTTTTTATGTTAAAATCGCTACGAAAACTAAGGTTTTGGAAGGATTTCATCTTGCGCGCGCGAGTGTGCACTTCGTGTCATTTTTTCAAAGGATTCTTGAAGTTTGGTTATGTTAGAACAAGAAATTTCATTTTATAGTGTTTTTTGCAAGGGAAAGCGGGCGTCAACAAAACAACCGGATCCGGACACCCACGTTTTGCCTGAGACTTCCTCACGAAAATGATGAAAATGTGGCTGCGGCCTAGGCGCGGCGAGGGGGGCGCGCACCAGGGGTCCCAACAATAATTATTCTTTAGAATAAATAATGTTCAACAACAACATCAAAAACAACAACAACACCAACAACAACAACAACAACAACAACACCAACAACACCAACACCAACACCAACACCAACACCAACACCAACACCAACACCAACACCAACACCAACACCAACACCAACACCAACAACAACAACAACAACAACAACAACAACAACGACGCAACAAGCATAATCCTCACCACGGATCCCCACTAGAGCCACGCACCCAGGGACAATGAATGACCGTTCGGCCCCCTCACCCTGAGAACAGTACAACAAATAAGAAAAATGATAAGTATACCCGTAACAGGCCTCGGCCGCCGCAGGCTGCGCCTGGAGGAGCAGAGCTGAAAGGGGGCCCTGGGGCACGCAAAGAGGTGGACGCAAAACAACAGGGTTCCCCATGTGTTGTTCCAATCTTTCCGGGGGGGTTTTGGCTCCCCCCCCACTCCCCATCGTTTCCCTGATCTTCTGGGGAATCGCCGACGGGTTGTGCCTGTGTGTGATCTTCTCCAGAAAAACATGCGGCATGCACGGGCGCGTGTCCTCCTACAGGCGACTTTTGGACGAAGACTTGCAAACACTCAGAACATTTTCAAACACATTCTAAACACACACTTAAGAATCGACCCCAGACTATTTTTGGACCATGTTTGAATATTCCTCCTGTATGGGGGATATGCCCGACTTGAGTAACACAGCGGCATGCACGGACACGTTCGGAGGTCCGCGCCGATCTCTTGGATCCGCGCTGGGCCCTCCTCCCTGGCGCGCGGAGCGCGCCAGGGGCGGCGCTGGAGGCGCCGCCAGGGGGTCCCAGCGCGGATCCAGGAAGTCTGCGCGGAGCCACGGAAGTCTACAGCGGGGCTGCTGAAATGAGGAAGCATGCACGAGGAAGGCAACCCCGTGGTGGCCTCGGCAAAGCCTTGCGTGTACGAGGAGGGCCGGAGGAACCGCAGTGGACGGACCGAGGGAACATCGAGCCCCCCCCGAACCAAAACTACCCCTTAGCTCAGCGTCTCGGCTGTCTCGTTGTGCCGGTGCTTCTTCTCCGGGCGCCGCTGCAGGTGCCGCCACCGGCTCGGGCTCGGCCGCCGGCGCGGGCGCCAGCGGCACGAACGCGTCCGCGGGATCGGACGTGTAGGTGGGCGCGGGCTCGGCCGCCGGCTCGGCCGCCAGCGGCACGACCGCCGCGGGCGCGGCCGACGTGGGCTGGGCCACGGGCGCGGCCGACGCGGGCTGCGCCGCGGGCGCGGCCGCGGGCATCACGGGCGCGGCCGACGTGGGCTGGGCCACGGGCGCGGTCGCCGCGGGCACCACGGGCGCGGTCGCCGCGGGCGCCACGGGCGCGGTCGCCGCGGGCACCACGGGAGCGGTCGCCGCGGGCGCCACGGGCGCGGTCGCCGCGGGCACCACGGGCGCGGTCGCCGCGGGCACCACGGGCGCGGTCGCCGCGGGCTCGTCGGGCGCGTACACGGTCTGCAGCGAGGACGCGGCCATGGGCGCGAGAATCATGCCATGCCACGCGGATGTGACCCCATCGCCACCATCGCTCCGCCGACCCCCACGGGCCTCAGGGGTGACCTTGCATCCGAAGTGTCACCTACCTGCGGCCAATCCCACCAGCGTTCCGGGCGTGAGTATTTTGGGGAATTGTTTCTTCCTACCTCCTTCTTCCCCCCGTCGGGGTCACCCATCCCCCATATCCCCTTCCGTGGGAGTGGTCAGGGTGCCCCGCGAGGTGTCAGACCGTCCAAGGCGGCAAGATGACTGCAATCGCGTGCCGGTTTGTCGACGAAGGCTTCCGATATGATTCAAGATGATCTTCGATATGCCTGCCACGGGCCCCCAGACCACCTCGAGACAACTCCGAATGGCCACGCAGCCCTCAATGAGACCACCGAGATGCCCCATTCCTTCGAGAATCCAAAATTATTCTAACGATTGCTGCATTCTCGCCGTTTCGTTTCCTCTGGGCCTCCGGGGCATAAAATCCCACCAGCCCTTTGGGCGTGAGTGGTTTAGAGAGCCCGCTCTGTTCTCAACCCCCTTCTTCCCCTTCGGGGAGGGGTTTACCCCTCCCCCTACCCCCTCCCCCTGGGCCTGGAGAGGGCGCCCCGCGGGTCGTTGGAGGGGTTTTTTTCGACTCCTGGGAGGGCTAAAATTCGACACCCCTCACGAGGATTCTGGCCCCGACGGGGGGAGGCAGAAAAGTGCTCGCCTCATCTGTGATCGATCGCCCGACAGATGGCCCCAAGATTCCTCCCAGACCCCTCCCAAAGAGTCCCAAGAGGCCCCAAGAGGCCTCCAAGAGGCCCCCAAGATGCCCCCAAGAGGCGCCCAAGAGGCCCCAAGAGGCTCCCCCGAGGCACCCAAGACGCTCCTGGAAGCCCCTGGAGCCGCCAAGAGGCCCCCAAGACGCCCCAAACGGCCTCCAAGAGGCTCCCAAGAGGCCCGAAGAGGCTCCCCCAAGGCACCCAAGACGCTCCTAGAAGCCCCTGGGGCCGCCAAGAGGCCCCGAAGACGCCCCAAAAGGCCTCCAAGAGGCTCCCAAAACGACTCACACCACGACGAGGGCCCCGAACGACTCACACCACGAGGAGCCCGAACGAGTCACACCAGGAGGAGGGGCCCGAACGACTCACACGACGACGAGGGGCCCGAACAACTCACACCACGAGAAGCCCGAACGACTCACACCAGGACGAAGAGCCCGAACGACTCACATCACGAAGAGCCCGACCGATTCACACCAGGAAGGAGGGCCCGAACGACTCACACCAGGACAAGAAACCCCAAACGACTCAAACCACGAGGAACGCTTTCTCTCCCTCCTCCTCCGCCTCGTCCTTCTCCCGCTCCCACCACAAGGAGGATGTACAAGGAGGCGGGGGGAAGGAGGAACAGGGGAGACATGCGGGGGCAGGCGGAAACACGCCTGAAAAACACGACTGTCGGCATGCTTCGCAAGAGTTGCTGTTTTGAGATGGGCTGGTGGGGATACGCGAAGCGTAAAGAATTGGCTTGAAGATCGCCACATAATTTCAAGAAGGACCCACAACGGGCCACATACGGCCCACAAGACGCACCAAAGCACCCCAAGAGCGCCCCATGACACGACTTCTCACGCTCTGGCAAGGCACGGTTAATTGAAGGTCCCCCTATTTCTGATTGAGGCCCTCCGAAAATGACCAAGACGACCCCAAGACCTCTCGATTATCCTCCCCCCTCTTCTGTTCCTCCCCCCCTTCTCTCACCTCGGGCTCACCTGGCGACCTAGGCCTGCGATCTTCTCCCACGCTCCTCCTCCGCAGCCGCCCTCCTTTTTTCCTGGTCATAATTGTGTACTCCTGTTTCCGACAGGGCCCGCTGGCCGTTCGAACGCGATGGCGTCCACCATAGCTACCGCTGGTCAAAACAACGTATCGTAACATCCCTCTTCTTTCTACTCGCGGTCCTCGGCGTCCTCGACGGGAAGGAGCATATACGTCATGTGCAACACAAGCCCTATACGATGAACGTCGTGTGAAACACATGCTGTACACGAAGTAGGCCAAAGGCAAGACATGACGTGCACGACGATGGGGGCCACTTGGGGGACAGGCCATACACTCGGGACAGGCCATGCACTCGGGAGGCCATCGGGGAAAGACGCACATAGCATTTGGCTCACACGACGACTCTGGTGTGATGTATTGGCCTGCCACGAGGAGGATCCATACAATAATGGTCCTGCGGCATGGGCTCTCCACTTCTTCCTTCGATGGCGGGTTCAACAGTTTCGCTGCGTACGCTGCGGCCGGCTCCTAGCCGTACCGGACAGTGTCGCTGGAATCCCAAACATTCCACGCGCAACCGCACTGCGCGTCGCACCGCGACGATGGATGTGGCGCTCGACCCTAGACGCGCGCAGCGCTGCCCCTGGCCGACCGCGGCGCGGGCACAGGCCTGCGTCGCCCGCCCAGCCGAGCGCCCGGTGCCAACGCCCCAAACCGAATGACCGCCAAGGAACAGTGGGCGAGCAAAAACCACCGCGGGCGCTCCTCGCCTAGCGCGGCGGGACACCACCCAGCCGAGCGCGCGACACCCCTCCCAACCCTGGGCAGCGCGCGCGCCCCCTCGCGCCCTTCGCGACTGCTCGGGCGGCGCCCCCTGTCCTCTCGCCCAAGCGCGGAAACTGGGGCAGAAGCGCCCGCCCCGCCCTTTCGAGCCCACGATCAACGGTGCGCGATGATCGCCCGCCGCAAAACCTCGGCGCGGACTCCAAGCGGCTCGGCGCGTCGCGCAGCGACGATGGTCCGAGAGGCCTAGCTGTGCGAGCCGCGCGCGCGCGGGCGCAGACCCAATGCGCAGCGCCCGCTGGAGCGCCCGCGCGCGCGCTCTACCTAGCACGGGGCCGGGCCTCATTCCCTCGCGCATTGCTGTCGGACGCGCAAGTGCCCCCAGCCTCGAGAGAAACGTCCCGCCTCGGCGGGCAAACGCTGTAGACTGGATGCGCTCCGCCACCCGCCCGCGCGAACCACCTCGGCCAGGCCGGTGCCGCGCTCGAGCAAGTCGAGCGCGTTCCCTCGTAGAGGCTCTTTCTCGTCGAGTTCCTCTCCTCTGCGCCAGCCGCCCTGAACGCTATCCAGATGGCGGCCGCGGCGCCGGCGGGGGAGATGCTCGCGAAGGCCTGCTTGCCCACGCCCACTTTCTCTCATAACACGCCGACATCGCACACTGGGCGCGCGCCTTTGCCGCCCGCAGTGCGGCGCCAAAGCGCGGGCCACATTGTGGCAGGCCGTGCCGAATTCTTGCGCCGCTGCAAACGCATACCTGACGCGCCCGCTGAGATGCTCGCTGGCGCCGCGCTGCTCGTTGAATGCCGACCCATCGAAGACAGCGGGCAAGCCCTAACATGGCAGGAGCACGCCCCTCCTGACTGACGCGGCCGCCACGCCCGAGGGGCTCGCCCCGACCGCTCTGGATCAGGGGGCGCGCTGCGCGCGTCGCTCGACTCCTGCGGGCGCCGGGCGCCGCGCGACTCTTCGCGGCGCCCAATCGCGCGCGCATCCAAAAACGCTCGCCGAGGGCAGCCGTCGACGCCGACGCGTGCTCGAAAACCTGCGCCAAAGCCCGCAACGCTTCAAGAACCTGCGATCGCGCGGCACAGCGCGCCGGCAATCCTCCTGCACCCAAGCGAACTTCCAGAAGCGCAACCACCGAGCACTGCGCTGAGCGAGGACAGCTGCCAAGCGCCGCGGCCAGGCGCGCCCTCGCGGAGGAAGACGCGCGCCCTCGCGGAGGAAAGCCAGCGCTGGGGGGGCCCATTGCTGCGATGCCATCGAAGGCGCGCTGCGATTCTTTCACTGGGCGCGGCAAGTTGATTCGGGCGCTATACAGCATGCTCGGCGACGGCCTCGACCGCCCCTCGAACTCTCGAGCTCGCCGCAGGATCTCCTCTCGCGACGGCAGGGCACGGCGGCGAACAGAATTGCTCTCCGGCGCCGTCGCCCCGGCCGCGCCCCCAGGACCCAGCCGCCAGCGCGGCGGGGGCCCGTGGAGGGCCGCGCTTGGCAGCCTTTCGCGCGCGCCGCGAAGTCGCGCGCAGGCGGGCACGCGGGCGCCACGCACGGTCAGCTGCGCACGGGCAAGACAGCGCCACGCACGGGCAGATGCGTGCCACGCGCGGGCAGATCGCGCCACCTCTGGGCACAACCGCACACGGGCAGTCGAAGGCCCCGCATGGGCATGCCACGCACGGGCAGCACTGTGCTCCGAGAAGCAAAAAGCGTACCGCACATGGGCAGCAGGTGTCCCACGGTGGTATCTGCGCACCACGCGCGGGCAAAGTTGCGCCGCCATCGGGCAGCGCCACACTCAGGCAGACGCGCATGCCACACACGGGCAAATCGCTCCACGTCAGAAGGATAAACACGACCCACGCGAACACAAGTACGGCCACGAGTGGGCCTGGACACACGCCTCTCGCGTGCATAGTGCCACGCACAGGCAAAACGTGACACGAAAGGACAAACGCACGCCTCACGCGTGCACGCTCGCAACCACCAGTGGGCCTGGGATACGCGCCTCAGGCCTGCAACGTGCCACGCACGCGAATGACGTGCCACGCTGCGGCGGACATGCGCCCGACACGTCCATAGTCGCGGCAACTGATGACCACACATTATGCTCAGACGCGCGCCTTGCGAATGCAAGCGGGCAAGACGATATTTCGGATGCGAGCCTCGCGCGTGTAC